TGAAACATTAAATCAAATAAATGCTCAACAGATTTTGACTAAGAAAAATAGTTTTTTATGAAGCTCCATTGTCAAACATATTGTTCACTTATTGTGTGGATATACGTATGCCAATGAGACACCATCTGATCAACCGACACAAAAAACCAAAGATGTCATCTCCAACAGTAACGGTCTTGTGGAAAAGATTCTACGCATTATGTCAAGCTCTAAATCGCCTGGAGTATAAAAAGAATATCTTTTTTTATTAATAAATCATTCTTAAAAGGAGAGAAGAGGGCAATTCCAATTAAGACAATGGTGTTAATATGTCCTTTGATTGAGTTAAGCTATTTCAGTTGATATTTTATAGTGTGTCTTTCTATGTTGTAATGTTACACTATTGTTTCAGAAAAGGGTGAAGGTTTGGTACCATTAAAACGTTTAAACCCGCTGCATTTGTTTGCACCTGTCCTAAGTCAGGAATCTGATGTTCAGTAGTTGTCGTTTGTTGATGTGGTTCATAAATGTTTCTCGTTTCTCGTTTTTTATATAGATTAGACCGTTGGTTTTCCCGTTTGAATGGTTTTACATTAGTAATTTTTTGGGGCCCTTTATAGCTTACTGTTCGGTGTGAGCCAAGGCTCCGTGTTGAAGACCGTACTGTGACCTATAATGGTTTACTTTTATAAATTTTGACTTGGATGGAGAGTTGTCTCATTGGCACTCATACCACATCGTCTTATATCTATAGACAAACTAAAATACAACGGAAAAACAAGCAAAAATAACAAAACCCTTTATTGAAATCTGAAAATTGAACAACATTAACCCCACCAAAAACCGTAGTAACCTAAAGTACTCCGGAAGGGCAGGCAATTCCTGCTCCACTAGTGGCACCCGTCGTGTTATTCATTGCAAGTTAAATTCAGTAATAAATCGGCAATGTCACAATAGAGTAAAAGCGGACGGGATTGTGGTTACAATATTTAGTTGAACATGTTACAAGTACATGATCCCACTGTTACTAAATGAAATTAAAATTGATTAAAAAAGCAAACAAAATTGGTCAGTGATAAACGGAATACAGTTATTGCGCATTTTGCGGCTGTCCCAAGTCAGGAACCTCTGGTCTTTGTTTGTTTTGTATGTTTTTTAATTTTGGTTCATCAATATGTTTCGGAGTTTAGTGTGGCATCAAATTTATTCACGAATGGCGGTATTGTATGAGTTAGTTATCGATATTGGTTCAAAAGTTGATTTTTTTTTTCGATAAGTTGAATTTGTATATTAGTCATTGTTTTGTTTTTTTTATATATTGAATTTAAATGAAATTGAAGGATAAAATGAAAGGAGCTATATGATTTTGAATGCATTGACACATCGTTTTCGTGCAACTTTGTTGACAGAAACCTCACAGAAAATTGCATACAGGATTCAGTTTGACTTTTGTTAATGAATGTTTTATTTCATTTCATAAGAATTTTAATGCCAAAGCTTGGTGAAAAATACTGTGTACACTTTCTTATCAATGAGCATTTTGCGGATATACTAGTATATAGAAATGTAAAACCTCGAAGCAATTTCCAGTATGATTGAACTAACGGTGTTCTCAAGGTAGCGTGCTAAACCCGGGTGCAGGAGGTCGTTGGTTGGATAACATCATGATATGTATGCAATATTTACCACAGCACTTTTATAAATCAACCCATTCATCCCTGATCCATCTATATTATAATTTCTCTAATTCTTCGTCAATTTATCCCTTTCTGCACCCATTGTATAAAAAAATTTAATCAACGTGTGGTTCGTTTGATCTCAGTTCTTCATTGGTTAAAATCCGATTATGACGTCGAATTTTCTTGCTTTCCTCTGAATTTCCTATTGTGACGGCATGAAAAAAGGCGACCATGCCTGATGACGTCACTTAGAAAGAACACATCTTTTTGCAGATCATTCAAAAAGAAGGAATAAGTTTGCCTGCATATTGTTTGAAAATCATTAGAGAAACAGATTCCACCGCCAAATCTCGTGTAATACGATATTTATCCACTCTCGACAGTTAAATTTTAAATATTTAAAACGCTCGGCGAGCCTCGCGTTTTAAATTTGAAAATTTAACTGTCTCGAGTGGATAAATATCGTATCACACTCGATGCAGTGGTAGAATCTATATCTACTGAGGAACATTTTCGTTATTATTGCAAATCAATTATATAACAATTGTATACAAACAGTTGATGATTAGTATAATTATAACTACAATTAGTACGTTTTTGGGACATTGACTTTCCTATAATTTCAGATACAGTTTTAAAATTCATGTTGTTTGATATTGTCTCGCTATTGTATTTTTTACGAAGGCAGGTAAAATTTTCGATATTTCATCAACACTATCTTCGACAACAATTATGAATAACGCCGAATAACATTTTGAATTTATTAATATACAAACGTCTACACCTTTCAAGTATATCTGTACTCTTGTGTAGTCAAATTGAAATAGGTTTTACAACTTTTAAATTTTTAACAATTTTTATAGGGACCAGATAATGGCTCTTATCCTCCTTATTAGAACTCTTTAATCCCACTAGAGACAGAGGTGGTTTACTGATGTTATAATCTCGTAAATCCCATTTAGTATGTACCAAAAAAAAGAAGATAAAAACAAAACCCGAGGAAACGAATGAGCTTCATATTGAGCGAACCCTGTTTCGTCAACAGGATAATAGCGTCGTATGTAATAGATACACCAGTGAACGATTAACACATTATTCACTAAATTTTATATATTTGATAGGAAATGTAGGGAATTTAAAAATTAATCAATGTTTTTACCCATTGTTATCAGAAAATTTTACTCCTCGAACAAACTCTTATAGGGTGAAATGAAAGTAACTCACGGTATAAATAGCATTAATCATGGGTGCGGTAAAGGTAAATTGTTTCTTAATGTTCTGTACTAACATTTTTTGTATGATTTATCTGATTAATAAAATGGTATGAAAAGACGAATTTCTTTAGAGAATACCTTAGTTTTAAGGTGCGTATACACGATACGATTTTCCTTTCGATTTTCCATCCGATTTGATACCGTCGCACAGGTAAATCGTACAGCGTTCTGTTCACACGATACGATTTTCCATTAGATTATGAACAGATTTGAACAGGTGCTTTTATGTTTCGAAACGCAAAAACGTCTGATATTATCTGTACGGCGTGTAATCGGCAATTATCTTATTAATTAAAACATTATATACATAATATAATTGAATTAATGATAAGCGACTGGTTAATGACTTTTAACCAGAGGCTCCCAGGATCCCGTAACCGCCCATCTGATTCAGAGTAGCCAAGAAAAGGTGAAAAAAACACCTTTCAATGTAAACAAAATTGACAAATGACAAAATGTCTTAAATTAACAATACTTGTCAATTGAAATCAAAACGCATTTCGAAGGACCATTCCACCAAATTATGGTTCCAACTAGCCCGATTGTTTCAAGCAAACAAAAATAAACTTAATGTGAAATGTGGACAGACGGACGACGATAACGACGGCGGACACCGGACGCAAACTGATGGCAATAGTTCGCATAACCCTTTTGGAACAGGTGAGCTACAAAATGGAACTAAAAAGTAAAACAACAAAAATACCGACCTCCAAGGAAAATTCAAAACGGAAAGTCCCTTTAACAATTGGCAAAATCAAAAGCTTAAACACATCAAACGAAAACAACTGTCATATTCCCGACTTGGAACAGGCATTTTCTTATGTAGAAAATGGTGGATTAAACCCGGTTTTAAAGCTAGCTAAACCTCTCACTTGTATGACAGTACCATAAAATTGTCTAATCACATAACTTATGACATAATAATAATGACGCCATGAATTGATGACCATTACGTCATTTATCTGACCACGTCATCTTTCATCATTTTCAAAAACGGAAAAGTTACGACATGAAAAGTAGCAGGAAGAGAGCATTGAAAAACATTATTGCTGCTATTGCCGCTAAAAGACGAACGAAAATGTCAAGCGGAATTGGACAAAACCATAGCTGGCAAGAATAGCAGATCAGGGTGTTTGACAAACTCTGCTTGAAGAATTGTCAAATAATAACAGTGATTTTTTTCGCAAATTTTTGTGATTTAGTCCGCAGTAATTTGCTTACCCTTTGAATATGGTAAAAGACTGTATAAAACAAACAGGTAATTATAAAAGTGCGGGAAATGAATGACCAAGACTTTGCGAAAACAATTAACACGTGCTCGTAATTACTTAAACGACAGATGCAGAAACAAATGTATCGTTTAAACGTCTCGACGATAAACGATCAACGACTACGCGACTATTTTACGCGTACATCGTTTATGTGAACGATGTCAACGTTGACCAAAAAATGACAGAAACAAATGGATTTTTTGGAAAAGATTTCATTTTAGTTAATTTTTATCTGAAATTGCCACCTTTATCACCTTAATTCATGATTTCATATGTGGCGCCAGCCCTCGCCCATTAAAATTTTGGTTGAAAAGTACAGAATATGGTATATAAAGAATAATTTAGGAATAATATTTGTGAGCAAGGGGTGACTCTGCTGTTAATTTTACAAAAAAAACTTCACGTCAAGTCATGCTGAAAATCAGGTTTTCATGAAAGTCGCCAACATCTATGACGTCACAAATGCATCACTAATGACGCAGTTGGTGAAAATCGGGCATTGAACATACGTTTTCATCAAGGATCATCACGGGCCAAAATTATGGGTTAGTGAATTGACTCTTTTTATTTAGTCTATTTGGTGTTCACACGATCCGATTCTAGTAAAAAAGTCGAATGAAAATAGCGTACCTTTCGATTTCAAAACGACGTTTCGACTTGACATTCGACTTCCGATTTTAGGGTTCACACGGTACGATTTTAGTCGAAAGCAGTTGCATAGGTAAAAATCGAATGAAAATCGTACCGTGTGAACGCACCTTTATAAAAGAATATATTTTGCAATATAGTGTAAAAAAAACATTATTCTAATGTCTAATAAATGTATCATCTATATCAGAATACTCTTTTTTCATCTTTTTTTTCGTAAAAAAAAATCCAATAAAATCGTTTAGTGTCATGAGAACCACAGGTATACATACAACAACTATACCAACAGCACCAATAGCAACCGACGATTTCCGGTCATCGCGCGCACTTGTGAGACGTCGAATATATGCTGACGTAGTTTTCTTGTCAACCGTAAGTTTTTTCTCTAGTTCTTTGATCATAGCATACAATTCTTCCTCGGACAAATTCTTGCTAACACATGGACAAAAACACTGATGTGGTTTAATAGCAACAGTTGTTTTCTGTTCAGTTATAGAAATGATGTCAGTTGCTGTTTGCAGATCAGTTGTCAAGGTTTTGTCACTTGTTGTTTGCAAATCAGTTGTCAAGGTTTTGTCAGTTGTTGTTTGCAGATCAGTTGACGAAGTTTTGTCAGTTGTTGTTTGCAGATCAGTTGTCAAGGTTTTGTCAGTTGTTGTTTGCAGATCAGTTGACGAAGTTTTGTCAGTCGTTGTTTGCAGATCAGTTGTCAAGGTTTTGTCAGTTGTTGTTTGCAGATCGGTTGACGTAGTTTCAACAGTTGTTGTTTGCCGATCAGTTGTCGAGGTTTTTTCGTTAGTTTCAGCGGTTGTAAATGTTGTTGATGTTGTAAACACTGCAAACGACAACAATACAAAATTAAGATGATTGATTAAAGAGATTATCACTAAACAAAAATGTCTGTGTTTGTTAGCTTTCAATCTGAAGGGGAAACCTGATTTGCCAATATAAACATATTAAAATAATCAGTAATCGTAACATCTTGCCATCTACTTCAAGACGACTCTAGAGTGTATTGTATGGCATGTGATATAAGCAGCTACTTCAGTCACACTACACCTTATCGCTATTTGTCCGCCGTTACTGGACATCAACTTCGTGAAATTTTGACTTCATAATAGAAACTATCTGACGCCACAATGGAAAAGTGATTGTTGTGTGACGGCAATATTTCATGAGGCACAGAATCTCGGGTCAAGCAGATTTCCAAATAGCGATAAGGTCTATACATAATGTTCGCTTCTCTTGTTTTTTGACTGTTTGTCAGTTTTTCGGAATCCTCTGGTTTTATCCATGTGGTGCAATTTTTAAATTTTGCTCTAACCTCTAGTTTTCTTTCTCAATTTTATTCTTTATGGTTTAAAAATCCATTTTTGAAATCTTAACGAAACCTTGTTACTTTTTCATAGATTATGAAAGAAAAAAGATGCCAATGTTGAGTGTATGAAATCTCTAGAGAGAAACATTTTCCGCCAAATTTCCAATGCCTTATATCTCAAAATAAAAGGACACGAACCTTTCATTTTTTTCAGATTTCTTAGTTCCATTATATGTATGCTATCAATTTATAGCAGTCTTTTAAAAAGTTTGTTATTTTGAAGCAGAGTAGCGAACATCCTTACTTAAAATGGTCCTCCAATTCACATGATTCTTTCTATCGAACTCATCCGAGTGATTCTTACTGTCGAACTCATCCGAGTGATTCTTACTATCGAACTCATCCGAGTGATTCTTACTATCGAAATCATCCGAGTGATTCTTACTATCGAACTCATCCGAGTTTCTGTTGATCAAAAATATTGAAAGGGATCCGATAAAAATGATGCACAATCCCTTAGATAAGAATTTAATATGGGATATTCTTTACCCCCACCCCAATTCCTTATTTCACATTTTTCTGATATTCGAACTCATGAATTCATTTAGAAGCATCACTCTTAATATTTTCAAGTCAAACAAAACATTTGAAGTTTTAGAATATATTGTATTTTTTCATCGTAAATTGTTCAATTAAGACAGCCCTCGTTTAAAAATGTTATATCTTCCTATGGTCATCATTTTCAAGTTTTGGATGTACATAACTATGGATCGTTGTAACGAAGGTAAAACTTGTCCTAACAGAATTGTCTCTCTGAAAAACGGAAAACCTGTTTTAACCAAATCTTCTGCATAACATAGAACCGATCGTAACCGAACCCTCATTAAAAAAGAAATGATGTCTTAACCGACCCTCTGAAAACAAAAGACCTGTCGAGACCGAACTCTCTCTGAAATTGACAGAAAATATGTCTCAAGCAATTCCCTTGTAAAAACAACTTAAATGAACTTCCGTGTCAAAACATACAACTGAAATTCATTAATTATTTAACACGGCTATTTAAATAGAATGATTATCTAATTGAACAAAACTACAGTTGGGTTAAGCAATATCAACTCTACTTCAGTGCATGGGATGATTATGAATATAGATAACCTGACTATATACCTACCACAGTATTGTACATCGCAAAATTCCCATCTTATTCCCGGGTCCATTGTATAACACCAAGGACCTCCTGCTTCATTGTCGGGGTTGCGACAATAATTTTCCTGGTCACCAACCACTTCTTTGAAGAAACTGCCATGAGGATAATCAGAGTTCCATTTTTTACATTGAATGCCTGATATTGTGACGTTTATGTGGCCTTTGTATTCTGTCCCTAAAGCTGTTATTTTGCATTCTAATTCTGAAAAAAATTAGAAATTGATCTATTACTTGTATTAGTCGCAAAGTTTTATTAAAATAAAGAGTTTAACCAAGCCTCTCATAAATAGTAGATAACTAACAATATAATAATTTTAAGTCTGGTGCTTTCGGTTGAGAACAAAAGTTTACGACAAAAGGGATGAGTTCAGCTTCCCAGGTGTTAATTTTCATTTCTATGTACAAAACAATGTATCTAGAAACATCCCAGCTGCGCCTGCATATAGAGTAACGTAAGAGTACTCCAATTGCACATATTTTGACAGTTTATATAGGCCCGTTTGCGGGACGTATTATGGTATACCGTTGTCCGTCCATCTGTCCGTCCGTCGTCAACATGTCGGACAATAACTCAAAAACGCTTTAACCAATTTGCTTGAAACTCTGGTGAATTATTAACATCTATTGAGGTGAGTTCCCTTTTGATTTTTATAAATTTTGGAGGTTACGTTTCCGAGTTATGGGGTTTTATTCATTAAAAAAGTGGGTATTTCCCGTTTTCGGACAATAACTCAAAAATGCTTAGAGCAGTTTTCATGAAACTTTGGTGAATTGTTTATATCTATTGACGTGAGCTCTTTTCGATTTTTATAAAGTTTAGATTTTAAGGTTCTGAGTTATGGGGTTTTATTCATTAAAAAAGGGGATTTCCCGTTTCGGACAATAACTCAAAAGTTCTATGAGCAGGTTTCATGAAACTTTGGTGACTGGTTTATAGCTATTAAAATAACTCCCCCTTGGTTTTTCTTTATAAATTTCAAATGAGATTGAGGAGTTATGGAACTTTATTCTTTGAAAAAGCGACGGGCGTATCAAGCGCTCATGGCGCAGCTCTTTATTTTCATCTACGTTTTATCATGATGCAGACAAAAATTTCCATTCTGTATTTATTTTGTAGATGTATCCTTATTTACTCTATAGTTCCACCAATTTAATTTTGAATTCTTATTGAATAATAGAAAAATGGGTTTGAAACGACCTCCAAACGATCCATGATTCTTCAATGAGAGGCGCCCAAATTGCATCCATGCATTTTACATCCGTAAAAATCGAATAACTGATGCTTTGTTTTATTTATCCAAATATTTAGAACAATTTGACAATAGTCCATGCTTACTATTAATTAAAAAAAAAAATTAAAATTATAACATGTTGTAATTGCACATTTTTAAAAGTTGATTTATTGTGGACTTCGAATGGCGACGTTTCCCGGAATGTGACGTTCCCGTAGATTTTACTTTTTCCAGTGAATACTACTCTGTTGATAGATACTGTGAACGTTGTGTTAATATCTAACTATATTTAGCTATGTTAAAAGACGTGCATATTTTCAAATCATAAAAATGTAAATTGTTTAGTCTCTAAGAACACTTGTAAGATTTCCGCTGATATTTTTGTTAAATGGTGCAATTTGGGTACTGTTACGTTATACATCTCACAGTTGATAAAATATTCCAGAGCTTGCATTTCCTATCATGATTTCCTTGATAGAGAGTTACTGCATACAAGGGAACTATTAAAACAAGATCTAGAGTTCCAAGTGGGAAGTTGAAATCATCCGACGACGGACATGTTCCAACATTGTTGGGTTTCGTCGGGTTTGTTTCTTCTGTTTGAGTTTGAGACAGAAGTAATCGGTTGAACTCAAGTGTCATAAATTGTTTATAAAACAAATGGTTATGAATAATAAAAATAGTGATGTCTTTTTATTCCTGACATATAATCCTTTTCAAATAAAATACATTTCTTGCTTTGAAATGTAGGGTCTTTTTTATACAACACGGCAAGTGTAATATTTTATTTTATTTATGTATTATTTGCACACGAAACCTGAAGTGATTTTTGTTCTTCCTTTTTTGTTCTTTTTTTTTTTGAGTAATCACACCTAGCAGGCGTGCACAATTAGTACCTACTGAAATACTGACCGCATGGGAATACTAATATTTTCCCGCGTTTCGATCAGTATAGCGGGAAAATGTTGTATTCTCGGTATGGAATCGTTAATTTTCGGTAGGCCGATGTAAATCTATCCAATCAGGGGGCTGAGTTGTGGTCATATATAAGGTGTTTTTTGTGTGGTAGCTTCGATTTACTTTCTAGCCGTCGTATTGACCGAGTAAACTCCATTATTTTAAATGATGTTTATATATCTATTGTTAGACAACTATTTTTGTTTTTCGTAAACTGTTTGAACCGACGAGGTCCGACGTCATTATCCTGAGATAGGCTCGAGCATTGATTCGGATACAGGTTTCCGTAATACGGTTTTCCTGGTCGGCATTGGCTATGAATGAGGGGTAATTTATTAAACGTACAGCTTCCAATATTTTGCTGTGTTTTGTACATAATGATATGATTGGTGAATGAAAATGCCAATTGAGTACTGATTTATATGTTTTATTTGATGATATGTCACGATTATATATTATATTATATTATATACAATTATATCTGGCGTCCATCACGTACGACGGGCTGTCGGCAAATTTTAATTTACGTTTGAGTTTTATTTTTCTGCCATGCGTACAAAAAGGTGTTGTTGGTGTGCTGTCAGTGGCAGAAAAGGGTGTCATTTGTGTGTCTGTCGTCTGTAGTATAGAGAATACTGATATAATACAAATAGATAACAAAAAGAATAGCCATTCATTTTGCTGTTGGTGAAAATCACTTTTAGGCAAATTTGACCTTAGATAAATTGGCTGTTCTTTATAGGTCCCTTTTGGTCATAAAGCTTCTAACATGTCTACGTATTTATATATCACTGGCTTTCAAATATTAAGGTTTGGGCTTTCCTGATGAAGGTAAACACAAATAAAGTGAAAGAACGAAATTAATAACGTGTTATTTTCATTGAATAATTCAAATTAAAACCAAATATATATGTTTCGTTTAAAATTTAGGACTCAATACATGATTAACACCACTGCAAAAATACACCTTTTTGAAATATTTTGAAGATTTTCTTTATGTGTTGTAAAAATAATAGTAACAATCTTTGAAAAGGGGCTAGTGGAATATTTCAAAAATTTCTCTTTTTAGTTTTCTTTCTATATATTCTTGTGTAGTTTTCTTTCTGTATACGAAAGAGAAAGAGCTACTCTTGTGTATTTTTGTTCTCCAATATAGAGAAGAAAGTTCAATTTTTTTGAGATATTGATAAAAAATTGACCACTGTGGGTGATATTTACGGCAATTAATGGTTCACTAGCATCGGTACCAATTCATCGGTGGAATTAATAACATATTGTACTCAGGTACACTCTGTACTAAAAGTTTGGACAGAGAGATTAGATGATACATTAAAAAGTTGAATTCTTCATTATTTTTGTATTTCACTTTTGTTGGAATTTATATTTATAGCTTAAAAAAGTGTGGACACAGATCAAGGTGGAAAGTAATTGTTTGATGGTATGTTTGACGGTGTTTTCTCCGCTGAGTTTATGCATTGACTGCAACACCAGATGATTTCTGATCTATTTCTGTGCTTCCCTCATAGAGTCCTATATTAAACTCTGTTCCACAGTGACAGCAATCTTAGATTTTCAGATAATTAACAAAAGCTTAAAATTAGCAAAGTACAAAGTTTAACATATCATATATTACTTGTTCTAAAAGGACAACCACTTGTCCAAATTTTGAACTTGCTTCAGGAATTATTTCACTACCATATTCATGGACATGAAATCATGTAAAAAAAAATATTATACAGCTTAAATGATTGCTTAAGCCTGAAATAATAACAGCACAGTGATATATTGTTCAGAGGAATTTTTACTTCCTGATTCGGTTACTAGTATTTACATT